AGGGTGCACTCGATCCCACTGTCCACATCTCCGACAAAGATGTTAACATTTTACATTCACCATTTACATTTAAAATTTACCATACACATCACAAAGGTTTTATTTCTCCCCCTGTGTAGTTTGGCAGCTTTTGGAAGCTTAGATATGTCATGGCAGTGACTATTTGCATGTCTCCTTCTGTGGCTGCACATCTGGAGGCCCTTGGTGGCATAATCAGTACATCTATTTCTTTGTATTTGCTGAATGTGATCATTTTGTTTATTGATTGCCTATTCTAGCTGCTGGTCTTACTTTGGAAAAATTGGAGGACGTCAAGCAGTAGGCCTGGTGAAAAATGGTTGCATGGATAAAGGAGCAATTCAGCATGAAATGAACCACGCGCTGGGTTTCATCCATGAACAGGCACGGAGTGATCGGGACAGGTTTGTCAAGATTATGTGGGAACACATTGTGGCAGGTATGTCACTAAATCTTAAGAGAAAACATATACTTTCATATAAAGGAGAATGTTTCTTCTGTGAACAGCAATGCAAATAAGAATCGTGATTCATGCTAGCTGAATTGCAGCAGCAGCGCAATCAGTGTGATGGAATTTCTCGATCATTGTTTGTACTAGGGGAATTTCTGTGGCTATACCTATGTTAGTGTGGTCCTCCGAGGCAGATGCAGCCTAAAAATAGCTCTATGTCCTTATTTTGATTGCCATCTTGAGTCCAGACTCACCTTATGTCCAAAACACCAAGATCATCAGGAACGCAAAATGTTGTAGCAAAGGCTTGGTCAGGAGGCAAGACTGTGGGACTTTAGCTGAGGTGAGGATAAACACGATGTTCAGAGATCATGGTGGGAAATCACACAGCAGCTCTATGTCGGGGAAAGCCACGGAAATAGGGAAGGCAGCAGGTAGGCATCTTGGCACTGGCAGTGAGTGAAATACACTAAAATGTAGATGAACAAGGGACTCAATGCAGAGAGAATGGAAGCACATGGAACCACGAGCATGTGCAAAATTCTGGGACCTGGCATGATGTGAGAGGAAGGACCACAATTATTTCCTCCTTGAAGAGAGAAAAATATACACTACCATGAAAAGAAGGAGCAATGGAGAGCAATCAGGACTACTAAATCTGTAGGGGGAAAACAAGGAATGTTATCTAAAGAAAGGAATGCAGGATGAATAGTTTGGGCAGGTGCCCTTGATCTGTGTACGGGGAACACGGGAGCATATACAGAGCTCCAGGCTCTGGGGAGGGTAGAGAGAATGGTAGGAGGTCCCAGGGAAAGTGAGAAAGTGGTACATAGAAGGAAAGCAGGGGAAGAAAGGATGCAAGGAATCATTTGTCTGAAAGCTATGACAGACCTGGACAACACACAACAATTGTAAAAAGATAATAGTGTACTTAGTTCATTATAGAAAATAATAGTAAATGAGGCAGGACAATTGAATACTATATTCTAATAAGTCTTTTCAACAAATAAGATATTCAACTCTTCAATGTCATGCACAGCTGAAAATATATCTTTTTCTCCAGATGGAACTTGATTGTTTTTATTGCAAATTCCTTACACACTGTTCTCCAAACTTTTTTCAGCTATTCCCATGATATCCTAAGTAAATTCCATTTGTGCTCTTCTTTATTGAGGTTCCAGCTCTAGTGTTAAGGTGTAATTTTGCTATGAATTGTTTGCTGTTGTATAACAAGGGTGTGCCGTATTTGAAAAGCTAGCAAAGGACGTGCTAGGAAAGAGGAGTTGAAAACGTTAAGTTATACCAAAGATACTAGTCACGCGTAAAATCTTACACTAGTTTTTCAGGCAGGAGTCCACAGATTCAGATGTCATCATTCCTAAAGGATACAGATGTAACCAAGCTCTGATTCAGGCACAGTATCATGAAAGGATAAGAGAAGGGGAAGAGGTAAAGAGGACAAGGCTATGCAAAAGGAGATGGGGTGTATCTTCAGTGTTTGAACAGCATTCACCAGCAGTGGAGGCCGAGAAGATTGGCATGACAAGGGAGTTAGAATACAGAGTGTGTGCACCACAAGCACTGTAGGGGAAAAATTGCAAAAATATGCAGGGAAAAGGAAATGAAGAAACACAGCTATGTTCATGAGGACCGTTAGTGTACATCTCCTGTAAAAACACGCTGTTGTTAACAGTGCTGATGGCAGAGCTCCCCCGGACCTCAGTGGTGTAGAGCTAGACCTCAAGACCTTTTGCAGCTCTCCCACAAAGCTGTTTTTCTCTTGCCAGGACTGCAGTACTGTGGATGTTTGCTGGGTTTTGTTTTTACCCAGCAATTCACCTTGGAAGCCATCCTACTTCTTTGTTTTGACAAAATGCAGTCTGATCGGTTGCTGTCCACTTAGCTATTCAAAACTCAGCTTGTTTTTCCCAAACTTTGGGGGAAAAAACTGTATTCGGAGTCTTCAGCCAAAGCTTCCTTTTCAGCTCTCCTGAGTCATTACACTTCTGTATTATGTACACTTCTGATTCTGGCAGAGGTAGTTTGGTTTTTTTTTTAGAGTGGAAAAGATGGGTTAAGTCCCCACATGTGTGCAGGTCTAGACAGCCAAATCTCTCTGGCACGTCATGAGGCAGATACGAGTTTTCTGGGAGCACCTCTGTCCAGCCAGACTGCTGTTACTTTTTTCAGCAAACCAATTCAGCAAAGCACTTATGTGCCAAACAGTAGCCATATGCTCAAATGTTTCACTGCATTTGAACTGTGCTCTCTGTTCATCGCCTCAAAAGAAGCTGTGCACTTGCTGATAATTCTTTCTGAAGTCAGTATAGCAGATAAGAGGAACTAAGATAAAAACCTAACAGAGTCAGGAAAGCCAATGCTGTTGAGAACCAGTTTGAGTCTTAACTGAGTTTTTGAGCTATGAAAAGCTCCAAAGTCATGCTTCTCCCCAAACTTTCTATAATTCAGGATTTTGAAGCTTCTCCTTGCATTTCCTAGCCCTCATTGGGACCTGAAGGTCATTACTGGAAGAGACTGGCTCTGATTGCAAACCTGCCAGCCAAGTTGTGCAGACTCCAGAGATTTTTCTGACAAGCATCCAACACTGAACTCTTGTCCAGATGGTTTGTGGTTTACAAACCACTAGTTGCAATAATGAAGGTACAGATGTTGAACTGGAAAGGAGCGCTCAGTGGTTAGGGCATTAGCCTCACGGCCAGGCTGACTGCACTCAGCTCCCTGCTCTGACATTGCTTGCTTCCCTGTCTTGCCATGGACAAGAGACCCAGGGTGCAATTTCTATTCGTGCTCTCCAGTCAATAGAGAGAAATAGGTGCCTTCAGATGAAACTCCCTCTAACTGTGTCTCTTTCTCTCACTCTCCTCCGACTATCCTGGGAATTTTGATGAATAGCTTCAGTGCCCAACTTAGAGAAATAAAGCTAGGTGACATGAATTCCAGTCTGTGTCTCTGGGCCCCAGTCCTGTATCAGTGTAATGCTTTCTTACCTTATATGGACTTTTTAAGGCTAAACAGATGAAAAGTGCCGAGATGCTCAGCAGCTATGATGAGAGGGGCTAAATCAGCAGCTATATTCAGACAGAATGTTTCTAGTTGATCTTACAGCGTGCCCTTGCTTCATGCAAGTCGTATCACTTCACTGTAGTCACTGCTGATGGGATTGACCAGAGACAAAAACAGAACATGGTTGCTAACATGTCCTTTGGTGCAAGTAACAGGCAAACTGTATCCCTTTCTTTTGTGGTCTTACAACCCTTTGGAGGAAGGAGTCAGGAAGACAGCTCGGTGGTCACCCACACATACCTCTGAATTTTTGATCTAGGTAGTCAACTAGATTTCCCTGTCAAGGTATGGATGCAGCTTCAGGGACACAGGTTGGATGCTTATAATGTTCAACGTAATGCACTGAAATATATTTGGAGACACCCTAACAAAGATGGACTGATGAATACCTTTACTTGAAGAGTGGAATGGATTCATTGATTATATCAAAACTTTGACTTATTTGTTTCAGTTTATATTCTGAAACCTACTAGACTGAGTGAAAATGGGTTCCCATGGGCTTCAAAAGTCTCTGGTGCTTTTGATAGATCCAAGATCTCATGCAAACAAGTATTTGTATCCTAAGTTACTCTTAGGATTATGACAGCAGGCAGTGTACTATTAGAGCAGCAATAATTGTCCTGACTGAAATGCTGCTTTCCTACCTTACAGGGGAACAAGGGAACTTTGGAAAAGTGAATTCCAAAAATCTGGGCCTTCCCTATGACTACTCTTCAGTGATGCACTATGGCGCGTAAGTTGTTTTCTGAGGTGTCTTTTCAAAGGAGCAAACAGCTTTCAGGTCTTCTGCTCAGATCTAGAAAGAAGGAATTACTCTGTGCAGGGAATGACTTTTGCTGTTCACTTAAAATTGAGTGAATGGACATAATTAAGGGTGAGCGTACTTCCTTTGTCAGCAGGATTCCTGGAAAACAGAGTTGATATGGATAGAAGAAAAAAATAGGACATTTCCTTTCACTGTACTCCTTTCTCTTGCTGGAGGCCTTTGACATGGGTATGTCAAAAGTCTAACCCTACTGAGTCACTGATCTAAAACAGTTCTGAAGTCTAAATGATTTCATTAATATAGTAACAGCTGATAGTAGACAATAGTAATTAGATACAGAGAGAAGAAAGATGGAAATTTTTAATATCATTAAGATGTTGTGTGCTACCTCATATTCATCTGGGAATACCATCTAAGGTTGGATTTTAGACCATAATGGACAAGTTTGTGTCATTTACCTTCTCCTTTATTTCCACTAGCAAGTAACAACTTCTGAACAAACCCATGAAATAAAACTTGTCTAGCAGGAAATTGCAGATGATAGCAAATAAACAATTAGTGACTGAGACAGAACTACTCCTGCTCCTCCACCTCTGGAACCACAAAGGTGGGATTCAGTTCATTTTGCCTGGACATTGGCGGAAGCTCTCCTCACTCAGGACAGCTTTTTCTTGTTTCTTGCTTTCAGGTGCTGCACACAAAATGGCTGCCATGCTGGTCCTCTTCAGGGAAGACTAACTGGTCTCTGAAAAGCTTCTTGCCCTTTTCCATTGAAATTCTATGCATGTGGTACATGAATATGATTATGCAATTAGAGAACATCACTGTTTAAGAGCATTGATCTAGAAATGTGATTTCCATATTTCTACAGGTATGATTTCTCCAGCGCTCCAGGAAAACCAACTATTGTACCAGTTCCTGACCCCTCTATACCCATTGGGCAGAGAGAAGGGCTGAGTAACTTGGATGTAGCTAAAATCAACAAGCTCTACAAGTGCAGTAAGTGCTGTAGATAGAAGGCATGTGAATCCTTATACAGCTGATGTCTGTAGGCACTGTCAGACATCCCAAAGGAACTCAGCCCACAGTCCTTTCCATATGTCTCTCTCTCACCCTACCAGAGGGCTGGTATGTCTGCGGAAACAGACTTGCCCCTGTGCCAAGCTGCTGCCTTCTTGGAAAGGACAATTTACTTACAATAATTTACTGTCATTCTGAGTTATCCTCACCTAGTCCCTGCTCTTTGACATAAGCAAAACCCATCAGAGAAGCCATGGTTGCTACCTCTGTCAACTTCTCATTTCAGAAAAGCTCTGAAGGTTGCAAAGCATGTAAGCTATCCTCAGCCGTGATTATAGGTAGAGTCATGGGCATCAGTAGTGCCAGCAGGTTTGTGATTTCTTTCAATTAGAAAATGACTGTGGGGCTGTAAATATGGGTGCCATTTAGGCTGATCAGAACATCTCTTTGAGGGGAATTCCCAAGGCTTTTTGCATAGTTATCTACTTCCTTGCCCCATCCACTTCTTAACTCATCACTGTGGTATCTTAATCCATCACTGTGGAAATACCTAGCATTCCTCCATAGTAGGAACTCTTCAGTTGAGATGCACAAAACACAGGTAAAACACCAGCTGTGCTCCTGCAATGCACGGGTGTTTGCCTTGACTCCCAGTGCAAAGGCTAGTTGATTTATATGGTATTTGACTTTTCTGAGATGTTATTCAATTAGTTTCCACCAAAACAGTGAGAAACAGTAACATGGCCTAAATATTAGTGTACCAAATTTTGCTCTGAATTGTGCTAGAACTTAGCTAAATAAACATCAGTAATTAGTGGGGACCAGCATTCCTTCAGTTGGATAGTTAAGTATAGAAATCATTGCTGAGAGTGGTTCCTCCCAAATTCTTAACTGCAGATAAGACAAGTTTACAATTTAAATGTCTGTCATGGTCTCAAAGATAGTGATAACAAGTATTTAATGATATTTATTCTTGATAGTGGGGCTGGGAATTAATCACACTTCAATACTATTATTATGTAATTTCATAATTAGATCCATACGTTTTGGAAGAAAATGGCTAAATTTTTTAAAAAGGAGAAAAGCTTTGGGGCTAAAGAAAGGACAAAATGTCCATTTGTCTCAGGGAAAGTAGGGAGCAAGAGAAAAATGTCATAAATTCGTATGTTTGGATGTCATATATTCATATTTTGTAATTTGGGGAGTTATACATAGTGCAATAAATGAAGACTACATGTGTAAAGATGAAAGACAGATGAGATCAGACTTTGTATACCAGTCACTAAGTCTGTAGCTTGACTTTGGTGCTCTTTGTTATTGTTTTCCCCCAGAGACTACCCCTCTTCGCTTTGACAGAATCTAGTTTTCAAGCTTGATTTTTGCATACACTTATGAATACACACACATTTGCTGATGGGAACTGATGTACTCATGTCATTGAAACTACTCCTGTGATTGAGGTTAAGGAAGTTTATGAAAGATGCAGGCCTTTTTTTAGTAAACTAAAATTTGTGAGTGAAGCCCTGCTGCCTTTAAAAAAATCATTAGTAGCTGAAGCAGGTAAGTACCTTAACTAGCTTTTATTTCACTCGCAGATTTTGAGCAACTTTTACACTAGGAACATCAACACAATTGTAAGCTTTATCATTTATTTTTCTTTTACAAGCTTAACTGATGCATATTGTTGGAGTGACTTGCCAGGTCTTTCTGGGAGATTTTTGTACAGTTTTCATTCTCTTCAACACTGTTTGGTTCTTCCCTTCAGATTGCTGTAGCTCTGTGTTGCCTAAATCCAAAGGCTCGTTCTCCTCTGTCAATTACCCATTCCCATACCCGAACAATAGCAACTGCCTGTGGTTGATCCGCATCCGTCGAAGTAAGGTAATTTTTATTAGGAGAAAAAAAGAGTTTGAACCACAGTGTCAAAGCTACACAACATTATTTCATTATTATGACTGCCCTCTAGGAATCATTTTCATGGACCAAGACATTTATTTTGTTACGCAGTGAATGAAAAGATAGTCTCAACAATTTTCATACGACTTATTAAGACTATCATCAGATGCATTATTTAACTTGATCTTTATCCAGTTAAAATTGGATGGCTTTTCAAAGACAAGCAATAGTCAAACATCACTCACTGGACTCAGTAGCAGGGTAGCTAACTGAAATTCTGTGCTCTTTTTATACAGAAAGTAAAGTTTCAGTGATACATGGACAGTAAAATGAATCAAAGTCCTAGTTCACCTCAAATCAATTAAATGATGTGAATCTTTCCCTGTGTATAACATTAAACCCAACATCTGTTTTTTCTTGTTTCTCAAGATTTTCCTGCAATTTGAGGCTTTTGATCTCCAACCCTCCTCAGAGTGTTCTTCTGACTATATAAAAATTTACAATGGAAACAGCAAGAATTCCCCTGTCTTGCTGGACAAATACTGTGGGAAAGGGCCACTGCCCTCCTTAGTGGCATCTGGATCCACGATGCTGGTAGAGTTTGCAAGTGATGAGAGCAATACAGCCACAGGATTCCGAGCCTCCTACAACAGGGGTATGAACACTCCTTTACAGAGCTTGGAGAACAGCATTAAGTATTTGTATGGAAGAACTGTAAAATTTGAACATGTACTCCAGAGTAGGTTTTTTCTGGGTTATTCTTTACACTTCCGTAGCAATTGCTAATGCAGCAGACTAGGCGATGATGGGGCTGAAGGTTAGCAGGAAACAGAAAATGGGATGTTGCATGTTAGTAATCCTGAGAACCTACTCACATTCTTCTGAGAGCCTCTGCGGGGCTTCTTCACATCTTTAGAACAATTTCTTTAAATAAAAACAATGCAATGACTGTAACTAATAGAAGCAGTGCAGCCAAAGAGCACAAAGACTGCAGAACTCAGTAAGATGTAAATCCAGTATCTGGGCAATATGTTATTCAAGGTTGTGTGGCATTTTATGCAATGGGAGAGATACTAACCTTGGGTAACTTACTTACACTTTCTGAATTAAAGGCTTGTGTTCTGTTACATGAAACACAGTGCTTACTGTGGTCACTTGAGGGGTCTCTGTTTTACAAGCATACAAATACATAATGCATAAAATTCTGTTGTGCTGCAACATGCCTTCAGTTAGAAGCCCCAAGTAACTTGTTATTGCCTTATTTCAACTCAAAATGCAAACTTTTTAAAAGAATAAATTGAAGAAGTCTTAAAACATGCCCTTTTTACTCTTTTTCCATTAGTCTTGATGGAGTAATTTCTAGATAGCATTAGATCTAGCTTGATAATGCAATTTTGAATGCGCGAGCTAATTCTTTTCTGAAAGTGCAGTAAGTTAGTACCATTAGAATGCTATGCTAATATGGTAACACTCAATTGTAAAGACAGATATAGCTTTAGATGCAGCTGTTTCCTGTCCTCCAAAGGTTATTTAGCAGCCATGGTTTTAGTTCCTTCAGTACAGCTGCTGATACAAATACTAAGCAAAGAAATACAATATTTCAGCAGTAGATTTTCATGGTAGCACATTTTTTCCTTGGCTTCAAGAAAGAATACAATAGAGTATAAGCAAGCTCACTTCTACTGACAAAATATTCTTGTTAATATGCCTTTCTCTGTTTTTCTCCTTTACTCCTCAGTGAATTGTGGAGATACTTTCACAGACTCAAATGGAGTCATCACCTCTCCAAACTACCCCAACAAATACCCGAAAAACCAAGCATGCTTCTGGGTCATCAGTTCTCCAGTGGGATACAAGGTAAGGCACAGATAAATACATTTGTGGGTTTCATCAATGTTCTCTAATGGAATCTTTTTTTGCCTTGGAGAAGAACACTAAATGTCACTTTTTGAGCAAGCATTCTCAGAGTAAAAATCTGAACACAAAAATTCAGTTTAAGAACTTATGCTGGATCTTGGTATCTGAGGTGTTCAGCAAGGGAAAACCTTTATGCATGCATGCGAACTCTTATGAATTCAGCTTGTACCAGTAGGCTTTGTTCAGAATAATCCCTAGGTAAGAGTTCCCACTAGAAAACTGAAATATTGCACAAGTGCTGGTTTTATATTTCTCTAGAGAAAACAATTTAAAGTGTACAAGATCTATCTTGTCCCTTGCTTCTCCTTCCAATCCAAATGCTGATGAACTAAGCAAATAATTTGCTACTCATTTGCATTACAATATGGAATCAGGATATGGGGCAAACACCGAATAAAAAACGGTGCCTGCACATAAAGAATTTAGACTATTTGTGCTTGCTACAAAGGGTAAGAGAAAAGGATATAACCTGGAAGCAAAGTGCTTTGGTTGTATTTTCTCCAGATATCTCTCAAAATGTTATCCTTTGAGCTGGAAGATAGTGACAGATGCATCTATGACTACTTGCTCATACATGATGGAAGCCGACCTACATCACCTGCAGCTGGCCCATACTGTGGGACAGAGAAGGTTGCAGACTTTACTTCCACTGGGAACTTTGTGCTGGTTGAATTTCACAGTGATATAGTTTGGGAGTTGCCTGGATTTGTGATGAGTTATACATTTGGTAGGTAGTACTATACAGTATACAGGGAGTTGGAAAACACAGAAGGAAATTAAGAGACAACTAGCCACAGGTAAAAGTCAAGATGCCACCAACTTCAGCAAAAATTAGAGCTCCCTGATACCTTTAGCAAGCCTGAAGCTTGATCTCTTAGTCTTACATCTACTGTGGTGTAATTTGCATGGTGAATTACGGACAAAAATATTCCTGCCCATGAGATGCTTCTGTCTGAGACTGTAAGCTTTTTGTTATGGTATTCCCACTGCTGGTGTTGCATGGCAAAATACAATAACAGAACTGAAACTATGTAAGTAGTTTTTCAAGAACTTCTAGTGTTAGAAACTGTGCTGATAAAAAGCTCAGAATATGGCTATGTAGCAACTTTAACCTGTAGTCTGACAAATGTTATTACCCAACCCTAATGTGCATTCCAGTATGAATACAGGAAAACCTTCAGGCCCATATTTATTTATGCTTTGAAGCCAAGCTCACTTATACAGTATGTATAAGCACCTTAGCTTAGCCTTGAAATCACCACTTTACACTGAAGGTGCCAACTAGGATGTTTGTACAGCATATCAACTCAAAGAATTGCACTACTACTCTGTGAGATTAACCAGGTCAGGGAACAGATTTAATTAGAGAAATGATTAAAAGTGGCAGGAACAAGCAGTATGGGAGAGGGAACAGAGTGAAGCACCTATTGTTGCTACTTTGCTGTGTCCTGAGTCAGGTATTGAAATTGTCCATGAGGTATTACCAAAATATTTTTTAAAAATGAGGCCTGAAAACCTAATGCAAAGTCCACTGAATGTAAATGGAGCCAGTAACTTTGGAGAACATATTAGGTGTGAAGTACCTTGTCTGTAGAGAGAAATCTTCCACCTCTGAGGAGATGTCTGAAGAGGAGAAAGAAATCACCACTGTAGACAGCTAACACTTTGCCTTGACCTGATGTATTCAGAACCAAATGCCAATGACAAACTGAAAGATGCCAAAATGTAATAAATAATAAAAGTTCTTGCTGCAAGTGTGCCTTTGTGAAGAAGAGCACGTAGAAAATGCCAATTTGCTTTCCTGGTGCTAGGAAGGCAGCCAAGAAAATTTTGAATTATGCTGATCTTTGGTTTGTGTTTTTTTAAAGGATCTGTAATGTTTTCCTTTTTAAGCACTAATTTTCACCCTCAGAAGAACGATAATTGAGAAGCTGTGGACATCAGGGTCTAGAGCTTGCTTGCCTCATGGTGGAAAAGTGCATGCACAGCAGGCAACAAATATCTGTAGTTCTTAGAAGCTCCTGTCTTTGGCTATAAAAAGTATTCCTTCATCTAATTTGGCTCACTATTTGTATTGGCACCTTTTTGTAGGCTGTAACAATTTCAGCAGCATGACAGAAAATTAAACTCTATTTCTGTTTTTAACCTCAACTTCAGATTGTACAAAAGCTAATTCCTCTCCCTGAGTCTGAGGACTTTCATGGAGGTGCAAAAGTAATAACCCCATGACAACTGTCACAGTATACAAAGTTGACTGGGTTCCTATTTCAAATATACCATGCTGAACAGCTTTGTAACATGAGTATAACTTTAGATTCCCTTCCCATGGCCTGATGTGGGGCTCTACATGGGTCAAATGTTTTAGATGTTCACCCATATTTGGTAAAGGAGCGTGAACAACGTGTTGAAACAGCAATGTACTGCATATAGGAATATTAGTCTTGCAACTTGTCCCTAGAACTATGGTTTTAAGTAGGAGTCTGAGACGTGGCAATGTGACTTGATCAGGGTGCTTTATTTGTACGCAAGCCCTTCCTACAGGCAAGCTGTAAGCCCTAAGGGCACACAGCCTGGCTAAAGACTCCAATCTATCATCTCATTTGTTTTGAAAACATGAATTCAACAATAATGATGTAGAAATGCATTCCTGAATGTACAGACAGGCCGAAATATAATGTGATGAGTAAGTTCTCTCTTTCATAGGAAAGGCTTTTCAGTCTGAGATCAAAAGGTGATGCTTTTCATGAATTCTGTTAGGGGGCCTTGTTAACCACTTTCCTTAAGGGAAAGAAAGCTGAAGGTTTTGATATCTGCAGAGGATTAGGAGGTGGTTTGGAGCATGTGTGGAAACTCCAACTAACGTGCATGTTGTTGCTAAAATCTCTGGTTTCCTGCCAGCAGTCTCCACTTTAGTTATACATTACTCATCTATAAATCTGTGGCCCACCAAACAGGAAAGTGCACGATACAAAACATCCTGATGAATGGCATCCTTCTTATAATGACTGCTGCTCATTTTCACCCACAGTTAGTTGCAAATCTTAAATGGAGAAGCTGTAGAACTCACAAACCCTGCTAAGAACTTAGGTGTACCCAACTGTGCAGTGTAAGTCTTGCATCTAACAGATAATAATCATCCCACCACAGGCATTGCCAGTATATAAAAATGATTTATAGGCTTGCTATTGACATTCATATTCTGAGGTATATAAATTAAGAGTGAATAGCCAGTAGACACAATGGACGGTATAGCCAAAAGTTTAGGATTCAAATACCACCATAGGTGGATTGTGGGAGATTCTAATGAAAGTTCAGCATTCACTTAACACACCTTTAAAATCCAACATGTAAGGATTTAACCTTAAAAACCAGATGTATCTAGCAATGATGATCACTGCCCCACATGACATCCTTGTCTTTATATTGGAGAGACATGGATTTGATGGATGGAC